GTACCTCCAGAATGTGAACCAGCTTGTCCAGCATCTCAACCACTACGCCTCCTGGTGGAGGTTGTTTTTTATGCAAGGGGATTCATTTAAAATCGCACAGAAAGCACCTAACAGTACAACTATTAATTGGTATGTGATGCTGTTTATCCAGGTCCTCTGCCCCCCCAAAGAAAAGAGACCTGCAAAGTGACATCATGGTCATTACTCCCCCCCCACCCCCACATGGTCTCCACTGACATTCCTGGCCATAAAACTCTGCTCACCCACATGTTCTATTTGACTTGTACCCTTCTCCATGTTTTTTGCTAAAAGATGCTTCATGTAGACTTAAAAAACACTCGGTCTCTTAATGTTTCGCTAAAGCTGGATTCATGCAGTGGAAAATCAGTGTAGAAAAAGAGTTGTGTAACCGTTCATTCTTTTATAATCGACATCAAAGCGAGTCGTATATTTTAGAAATAAAATTAAGCTCTTATAACTGCACAACCACATTAACAGAATTAATAGACCTTGCAGTGCTTTGTGTCCTTCAACTTTGCTGTGCTTTTTCCTTCATTACTTCATAAAGAAAGCTTTCTCTGATCTTAAAGGAGAGAAACATGCGTAGAAATGCTGGCATGGAAACCCCCTCCATGTTTATTAATTATTATGGATGATGAATTCCATACTAATGTGGAAATTCTCTTCTCAGTCAGCTTCAGTTCCTTAAGCTCTGCCAGTTTCTTTCTCCTCTTTTCTCCATTTATTTATTCTTGAAAATCATCAAAAAAAGCACGGGCCATTTCTGGGACATGTGAGGATTGGCCTTTGACACCCCCTCCCCCCTCACCCCCCAAATACGTGAAAGAAAGCCTAGAGAGAATGGGAATGAGTCAATTAACGGAGCAACGCCAGCGCTCTTCTCTCTCTGCGAAGATATAAAGCACTTCTAGAATGCGAGCCCAGAGAGGAATTGAGCGGAATAACCTTCCACACTTCTCATTGACAGGCAGCTCATTGCTTTTCTGTTTAAAAATGAGCCCAATACCTAAATCTCACTGTGTATGCGTGTCATTTTCATTGGATAAAATGTCATTATATTAGTCACCTACACACTCTGTACAACAAATGCTTTGAATAATGAACAAACGTGTTGTTATTGGGAATCACCCATTGCATTATGATGTCGTTATGGTGTCATTATTGAATTGTAAGTGTAGCTGTTGGACCCACCTGCTCCATCTGGTGAGCTCAGTACAGAGTGTCTATTGTGCAGCATCTATAGTTTGGGTTCTGCAGCCTCCCTAATGGTTGACAGTGCCTGTAGGGTTTTTAAGGCAGAGTGGTCATGTTCTTAGCCCACTTTCGTGAGGTGGGGTCATTTATATATGGGGGTGTTGAGCAGCCTGTCGATCTTAAACCCCCAGAGGTTTTTCTTTCCTCCTCACTTGGCAGTTCTTGGTTCCTCCCCTCTGTTGTCTCTCAGCTTTCTTTCTTTCCATCTTCCCTGTTTCGTGCACCAGACATGCCTTGGGGTGACTATATTGGGAAAGACGCTATATATAAAAATAAACTGAATTAATGTGAAGTATATGTACAAGGGACAAACTTCTTATTTATATTTATACAAAAAAAAAATTCCATTGAAACAGTTTTACTGCTGTACAGCTTATGATGGACAAACAGGTCTATCACTGTTTTGTTGAAGAGCTTCTGTTGGCAGCTTAGAATGCCATCTGTGGGCTGACTTTTGAGACTGCAGTCCTCAGGGGTGCATCGGCATGCTGTAGTGTAATCATGGAGCTGTAGTGTAATCACGGAGCTGTAATGTAATCATGGAGCTGTAGTGTAATCATGGAGCTGTAATGTAATCATGGAGCTGTAGTGTAATTATGGAGCTGTAGTGTAATCATGGAGCTGTAGAGCAATCATGGAGCTGTAGTGTAATCATGGAGCTGTAGTGTAATCATGGAGCTGTAGAGCAATCATGGAGCTGTAGTGTAACTATGGAGCTGTAGAGTAATTATGGAGCTGTAGTGTAATTATGGAGCTGTACTGTAATGTAATTACGCAGCAATAGGATAAACACTTTCACAAGAGACCAAGTCAGAAGGATGGACATTGATAGACAATAGTTATTTTTTAACGTTTTTGCCAAACGGGGCAGAGATTGGGGCGGTCGCATGGACACCACTGAGCTCCAGGGTTTAGATCCAGCCCAGCCTCCCCCTGTGTGTCTGTGGGACTGACTGCATAGGATTGATGGAGGTTCATTCCAGGGTGCCTCAGTCCGGGATAGACTGGGTAGCTTCAGCTGTTTGATAACAGGTCACTGGGAAAAGATGGATGTAATTATGCATGCTGAGTCTAATTATATCTGCAAACACTTGGGTGTGAATATACATTCTGGAGGCTGTATTGCAGGGCAGGCTTAATTTCCACTCTGAAACATTCACGGTGATGCTGCCGAACAGGTAATAAAATGATCTCTGTTGCCTTGCGATTAGAATTAAGTAGAAATATAAGGGTGGAGAGGGCAAAAATGTGACTTTTTGAATAATGTTTAATTAACTAACTAATTAAGTTACCTGCATGATCCTTAGACCTGGCCCATTGTGGTTTCGGTCAATTTTCATATCCTACTCTTTTGAACTACATTATTCTTTGTGACTCAAAGTAGACTTGCCTACTTTCTTGTGAATTAGAATGGCTTCGTCACAGCAAAGTGAACTGGAAGTCACATTCAGTTAACTCAGAGAGAATCGTACAATTCTCTGCTGATATAGGAGACAGGGAATGCACTTGTGTACTGGCACTGTTTTTGACTGGATAATTGCCTGGCAGTTACTGATTGTTGGATAAATCCAGAAACTTGACATCACTGTCACGAGTAACACAGGTGGAACCAGGTGAACCTTACAGAATTGGGAATTAAATATTCAGGTGTAGAGGAGTGATTGATTAATGGTCACCGATGCGTGGCAATAAACATCTGTCAGAAGTGATGCACGTGGATGATGGCGGATAAACTCAACCATCATGGCCTGATGACTGAGCTCATCGTCAAAGCCTCTCCCTTGTGTGGGTGAGCTGAACCGTGCACTCAGCATCACAGGCATTTTGGCAGGAGAGTCTGTAATGGCTAACGGCACCAAGGTTGGCACTGTTCAGAAAACTCAGGTGAGTTTTGACAGGAGCTGCGCATGCAGGCCGAGAGTGGGGAGTGTGGTGATGGGAGATGCTGCGTGACTAGCAGTTCCGAGAGAGAGTGTTGCCATAGCGATAGCCTTCCTTACCAGACAGCGTGAGCAGAGGCTGCGGGTCGCGGTGTCGCTGAGCTATGCGAGGCGAGGGTTCGTCGGGGCTGCTGTGAATCCAAAGTGGAGCGTATCTGAGCGGAACCGCCCGGAATCCATGGTGCCAATCCAAATCCCAGCATGCACAGAATCCCACCCGTGTGGCACATTATTAGTTCTGCACAAGCTCATTACTGTCTCCTGGAGGGAGGGATTAGACCACCCTGACTCGTGGCTCTGAAGGGACAAAGGCTGTGAGAAATCGGAGGGAAAGTCGCATCTGGGTGCGTACAGATCCATACAGTTTGGAAAATTATCATTTTCACTATCTGCTGTTCAGTGTTCGACTTTACACATTTTAGGTGTTTGTTTCTCTCTTTTTCTTGCACAGTGGAACTGTTGCAACATTTATTGCCTAAAGAATTGCCTAGACTACAGTGGAATATATGTGGAATATACTACATGGAATGGATCTGGAACTTGCAGAAAAAAATTAAAAAAATATATATATTGGCTGCAGTGCTTCAAAAATATAGCAGTTTATAGGTCTAAAGAATATATATTCAGAGGATAGATAGATAGATAGATAGATAGATAGATAGATATATACATTAGATTAGATTAGATTTTCAGTCCAGGTAGAAGGCTAGAGGACATTTGTACCTTAATTTTTCTTTTCTACCTAATTCACATAGCAGAATATCTACGGTCTGTTGCTTAATCACTGTATCACATGTCCACCCCTAGGACTTTAAGCGAAATTCAGTAAACATTGATCTCCTATATTTAAGAAACCAATGCAGATTTTTTTTTCAGGATGGCACACACTCCATCACTGTCATGGCTGATGAAAAAAACCTGTTTGCCATTGCTTGTTATTAAGGAAAAACAGTGCTAGATAAAATTAGGAGAATTTCTAGGATAACTGAATTGAGTCATGGATGGAAATATGTCTTTGATCAGTTTCACTAGTGTTTTCGTTTGATTTTATGGTAGAAGTACAACCTTGAAGCTCAATTCTCATTTTCCTTTCAGAGATTAGGGGAAAGGAGAATCCTTTTTCCTATTTGTACAGAGAGGGTCAGTAGCCATAATTAGCGATTTGGGGTGTCTGGCTATTATCCACGGGTGCCTCCCCTTAAATGGAATTTAACGTCACATGGAAGATGAAAAGTCTTGCTTCTTAATGAAAAGCATATTTCTGCAGTTTTGGTTAGTAGATGAGGGGAACAGAATTATTGGAATCTTCTTTTGGGAGATTCTAATCAGTCAACGTCTACAGCAAAACTCAAAGAACTTATTTGAAGGTTTGTTTAGTAAACGTAAGTCCAGGGAGTACTATCGAATCTTGTATAATACATGACCTGCATATAAAACTTGACCTGCATCAGACTATTGGAGAAGCTTTGATGAAAATACCATAGAATATTGCATATTAAAAACTGTAAATTTTATCATACTTGCAAGGCCAGATTATTGTTTTTCTTGGCATAGAGCTGTGAGTTTGATATTGATTCTTGACCATCCTGTAAGAGGTAACACATTGATTTATTATTTCATTTCTTTTGCTGAGTTTACAAATATACTATATGCTCTCCTGTTGCAAAAGAGAAGACCAGTTAGTGTACTTCTAATGTCTCAATTAGCATCTGCAAGCCGTTTTTAGGGTTCCCTACTTCAAAAATGCATGTTTGTAATGGCCTGTTGTTTCTGTTCTTGTTTCAGGGCTTTGACAGAATGGTAGATTACATCAGCAAAGTCATGTTGCCAACGGCTACCTCATGCTGGCAACCGTTCCTTGGGCTAGCCCTGGTGGTCATCCTCGTCGGTTCTGCTGTGGGCTGCCCGGCCCGCTGTGAGTGCTCCGCCCAGGCCAAGTCCGTCAACTGCCACCGGAAACGCTTCCTGACTATCCCCGAGGGCATCCCCATTGAGACACGTGTTCTGGACCTCAGCAAGAACAAGCTGCGGAGCGTCAACCCTGACAACTTCTCCTCCTACCCCCAGCTGGAGGAGCTGGACCTTAGTGGCAACCTTATCGGCCAAGTGGAACCCGGGGCCTTCAATGCCCTGGTCAACATGCACTCACTCAGCCTGAAGAGTAACCGTATCTATCTCATTCCCATGGGTGTCTTCTCAGGCTTGTCCAATCTAACACTGCTGGACATCAGCGACAACAAGATCGTGATCCTGCTAGATTACATGTTCCAGGACTTGCGCAACCTGAAGTCCCTTGAAGTGGGTGATAATGACTTGGTCTACATCTCACACCGGGCGTTTAGTGGTCTTGTGAGCCTAGAGACACTGACCCTGGAGAGATGCAACCTGACGGTGGTGCCCACTGAAGCCTTGTCTCATCTTCATGCCCTGGTCAGCCTCCATCTGAGGCAGCTTAGTATCAGCACTCTCCATCCATACTCCTTCAAGAAACTGTTCCGCTTGCGGCACCTGGAGATCGATAGCTGGCTCTCATTGGATGTGGTTCCACCTAATACGCTGCACGGTCTCAACCTCACCACACTCTCGATCACAAACACCAACTTGTCTGCCTTTCCTTACCAGCCCCTGAGGCACATGTCCTACCTGACGCACCTCAACCTGTCCTTCAGCCGTATTGAGCAAATCGAGGGTGGAATGCTGCGGGAGCTGGTGCGCCTACGTGAGTTACGCCTAATGGGAGCCCGGCTGGCCACTGTGGAGCCACACGCCTTCCAGGGCATGAAGTCTCTCCGGATCCTCAACATCTCGCGCAACCAGCTAGAGACTCTGGAGAGAATTTCCTTCCAGGATCCAGAGGTCCTGGAGATGCTTCTGATCGATGGAAACCCACTGGTGTGCGACTGCCGCCTCACATGGATCCTGAGGAGGCGGCGCTCCCTGCGTTTCGGAAACGTCCAGCCCGAGTGCGCCAGCCCTGAGGCCATCCGGGGTCAACCCCTCAAGGAGCTGGAAGAGCCGCTGCTCTCTCGCTATGTCACATGTACCGAGCCGAAGATCTTGGAGGAGCACGTGGAGCTTTTTCTGGTGGATGAGGGGCAACCGTCGCTGCTCCACTGCAGTGCAGAAGGATCGCCCCGGCCCATCATCTCCTGGCTCACCCCCCGCCGGCGCCTGATTACTGAGAAGACCAATGGCCGGGTGATCGTGCACCCCAATGGCACGCTGGAGATTAAGGTGTCGGAGGTGCACGACAGCGGCGTCTACACCTGCGTGGCAAGCAATGCCGCCGGCAACGATACGATGTCAGTCTCACTGGCTGTGAAAAGCCTCGGCATCAGCGACAGGTCACTTTACGCTAACAGGACCCATCAATATTACACAGACCCCAACAGCACAGCATCCAATGGGACTGGCTCTCACAATGTACCATTTGGCCTTGACCTCAAGACCATCCTGGTGTCTACGGCAATGGGCTGCTTCACCTTCCTGGGCGTGGTCCTCTTCTGCTTCCTGCTTCTCTTCGTGTGGAGCCGTGGCAAAGGCAAGCATAAAAACAACATTGACATCGAGTACGTGCCCCGGAAAGTGGCTGGGGTACCGGTAGACCCTCCAGAGACTAGCGGGCCACGGCGGGTGAACATGAAAATGATTTAATGCCTCTGTTAGCCAGCCTGGGAGTACTGGCAAAGGCAGGGAAGGACTTGCTATCAAGCAAGGAGCCACCCCAAAGCCAAATGCTAAGCTGGGGCCGCTCATATCACCCTCTGTGGATTCTAATGAACCAGACCAGCGACAACCAGGGTTCTGCTTGGAACTGAAGCAACAGGTGTCCTATATGGAGTTCATTGGTTTATTTTATTTTATTTTTTGTTTTTTTGTAACACCCACACTGAATCCTACAGTACAGACCTGGCTTCAAAGGACACTCCAGAACCCTGTACAGTATAACTTTCTATCTAAAGAAACTGTATTTGTTAAGTCTTGCATCATACTTACTCACAGCAACAGCAGTAATTTAGCATAAGCATAGGCTTCATATATATACTTAATTCTGTATTACGAATATGTATGTATGCCTATGTTGCGTCTTTTTTAAAGCAATATACATGCGACCCCCGTTTTGATTAAATTGACCGTTCTTTCAAAGGGGCCTCACTGTTACTCGTCATCAGTAACTCCATGTCAGGAAAGGGCTTTGACACAAATCCAACTCTGTTTATGCAGGATCCAAGAATATTTGGAATTGCTGAGGAGATTCCTCCAAAACATGCAAGCGGCAACAGTGATATTTTTTTCAATCCCAGTGACAGAAGCATTATAATAAATTAAATCATGTTCTAAGAACAAAAAAGCAAAAAAAAAAAAATTGTGATTCTAAACCACATTTATTGATAGTGTATAAATATATATACACATATTCTTATTTTTAATTAACTTATGAATCAACTTTAGTTATTTTATCAGGGTAAATTCAACTATATTTCTCCATGTTTCTGCTGTGAGCTGCCGTTAATTTCCTGGTCAAAAGTTTGAAATTTGTTGTGGTAGTTTCTCATTTTTGTTCATATCATCCATATTGTGAAAAGTAACAGGAAAAAAAAATGTATGTATGTGGAATAAAGAATATCTATTTGTTTTGGTTCATATTTGTGGATTTGGGCCAAAGCAAAACCAAACATTGCTGTTTAAGTGTGTTTTAAGAATGTTGCATAATTTATTCATATTGGCAGCTATGGGCTAGGGGAAAAATGTTTTTGTCAAAAGCACAGTTCTGTTCCTGGGTCAACAGATACTTTATAGTGACTGTTGAGATACTTAATGGTGACTTTATAATGACATATTGTGATTTCTCTCAGTGAAGTTCTGATAGTTTCTTGTGCTGGGATCCGATTTGAAGATTTTGTAAAAACCATCCAGGATCCCTCTGAAATGCAAATGTTCTGCTGTCAAGCTCTTCTCCACTTGTAAACTTGGTTTTGGCATCAACACACAAATGGAGAACATCCCGCTTTCATAAGCAATGGGAGAGTTGACCATCAGAATGATTGCTGATATCGTCATGAATGAACCATATGGTCCCACATAAAGAAGCCTTTCTGTCAGGACCATTCAAGAATACATAGCAATTGTTTAAACAAAAGCTAGTCCACACTTGCCTATTCATGGATATGATCACTTTTGTTTGTTTATTTATCGGACAGTGTCGTGGGGAAAGCTTGGAATCAGAGGGCAGGGTTAGTCAGCATCCAGCACCCAGTGTCATAATGATACTATTCAAACCTACAACCTTCCTGGCGCAATGCAAACCTACAACCTTCCAGGTGCAATTCAAGCCTACAACCTTCTGGAAGCGATTTAAACCTACAACCTCCATAACACTATTCAAACCTACAACCTTCCAGACACGTGCTTTATTTGGGTACACGTTTCATGCGATTTAGCGATACAATCCTATTTACTGTAGTATGGTTGGACAAGCCAAAGGTAACACATGTCCATGTTTAGACGTCACCATCCTTTGAAACGGTTCAACAATCAAGGCTCTGTTGTAGATTGAAGTTTAACATTGATGCAGTCTTACACTACTCACTTTTTATTTAGAAAAAAAATTATTTGTGCCTAACATGTACCAGTTTTGCCCTGCAGTGGATTGGCATTCCATTCTGCATGTCCCCTGCCTTGTGTAGGGGCTGCCAAGGACATGTTTTAGGATTCCCTTTACCCTGCATAAGCACTTTGGATGGATGGGTAGATGGATGGATGGCTAATTGTGCAGGAGTTGAAGAACATGCCTTTTCATCACAGTTTTAACTGATATATATCCTCCCCAACCTTCATTTTATATCAGTGGCTAATTCACAGCAGGCACCTCCATCTGACTTCTCTGACTGTCATACAGCAAAGACATCCCAGGATGTGACCACACATGCCTCACTGGACTGAGGACACCTGTGATGTATGGTGAGTGTTATTATGTGAGGGTACCGACTGATCTGGGATTCCTGCATTGTTGGGAGCTGACTGTCCTTTGATGGGATTTGCCCTGGTTTGATGCAGCAAATGCTGAAGCTCAAGCTTTTGTTGTACGTAAGAAGCTGTGTATTATGCATCCATGTTTGATTCTAGTGAAGTGAGCATGCCATTTTCCAGCGGAACGAAATATCTGGCATAGTGACCACATGCTCCATTCTAGTACCGATTAAGGTTATTTCACCCTGATGGTATATGGTGCTTCTCTGCACTCCATGGTACAAATTAGGGCGAGGAATCTTTGTACAAAACGCTTTGACCACAGTCCCAGGCTGGTCCTCTTGAAGTTCAACTCTTGCTACCGACATGCTGTAAGGCTCAGTTCCACGCAATGTAGAACTCTGTGAATCCTGAGGCATCAATGGGCCTTGGTACATTACCAACAGGTGTGTGAGATGTAAGAAGACTTCACAGTAGGAGATAATCCAAGGTAACACAGAGATACACCCTCCCTGTGCAAGTGTGGCTAAAGTTCTGCTGTGAACAGAATCCTGCCAAACAAACCTTAGCAAGACCTACTGGGAAAAGCTTTATACATCTGCCTCGTTCTTTCTGCATGTCCCAGTGACAGCAGAACCTCGACGCCCTCAATCTGTGTTCCAGCAATGATGAACACACCCATCTCTTCATCATGCTAAATGTTTACTGTCCATCTCACTAACCACCAGAAACATCTCCCAGAGTAACTAGACCCTAAATATCCCTGCTTTACCACCCAGCCTCTCCCTTACCCAGACCATTCATAAATACTGGTGGTTTATTTTATGAAACTTATCATCTAACTGGCCATTAGTATTGTCTGTTTATTTACCGTTTAACATTATTGTTAACAAGAACTCCATAACTGAGGACTCCATCCATCCATCCATCCATCCACCAACACTGCTTATCCAGTTCTGGGTCATATTGATAAAATAATTTTCTGAGCAACTTGCCTTCAGATATTTAAATGTATTTTGTTCTCTTTTATTACCTCGTCTCATTCACTGTTAAAGTGGAATTCACTGGCTGGTATTCTCTGGAATTCACTGGCTGCTATTCACTGGAATTCACTGGCTGGTATTTTAAGATAGACAACGAAGTAATAGTTTGAGATTTCACATCGTGTGCCTTAACCCACAACATCTGTAATTATTATTTTGATACCACACAGTAGCATGACAGTAGCATTGTACTGAATCTTGTGTCTTGTCCAGCAAACATCTGACACGTCAGACACTTCTCTCCCATTAAAAGTGAGGCCCCACATAACATGAATATCTCTGCTGCATACAGATATCTCTCCTTCTACTTACTCATTTACATCTGAACTGTACCTATATAAATCCCATAATTCGAATTCTGGGCCACTGGTTTCCCATCCAGGGTGTCTCCGGCCCAGTGCATTCTGGGATAGGTTCCAGGCTTGCCGTGTACTGGATTACCACTTGGAAGAAGCATGACTGGATGGAACATGCATCTGTACATATGCCTGCTTGGAGTATGTTCAAAGCCATTCACACCAGACACCAGCTTTAATTTAACTTGACAAGCCCTTTGAAGGATCTTCACTATTACTTATCAGTAATTTCAAATACATTGTCATTTTATGTCGGCTTTTGTTGTGTTTTTTTAGCCCCACTGAAGGAAACATTATCAAGAAAGAAAAAAAATGGAAAATATTTAATAGTCCTGTTTCTCCTGCAATTCCTGCCTCAGATGTTTCACTTTTCTCTTTTTATAAACTCAGCGTAAGAAAACGCAAACAAGTATTCACACTATTGACAGAGGAAGTGTTGGATTACACTCTGTGCTACCCATTGATCCCCGAGCAACTGCATGATGTTGAATACATTTCAGATTTTTGGTATGTTTCCTGGAACAGGACGGTCCCCCGTACGGTTTCATGGCCTACTTCCACATGGTACTCATTTCGAGGTGCAAAAATAATTAAGCGTGCAGAGAAATGACTTACCAACGTTTTTTGACATGCAAATCTGTTAAAGTGTAAAGCAGCGTAGCTTTAATTCTCCGGATTTTCACAGCGGCCAAGGAGGCAACTGGAAATTGAATCTCCAGCGCCGTCCAGCCATGAGGAACATATGTCACCATAAGCGGAGGTTGCACATTTGATACACACCCAAGCATAACTAGCATGTTATGAGATGGCAAAACCTTTGAGTTTTATATGATAAAAGTAAGTTGTAATTCATTTAGCCTGATTGATTCATTTAGCCTAATTATGGGCTGTTCTGGTAATGTTGCTGAAATCATTTAGGGTGACCAGATAATCCATGTCGAGGAGGACACTTTGAGCCAGGACAGGATTTGTAAACTACAATTTCAATTAAAAGGATCTGGATTCACTTAAGCACTGAGTTCTTGCTGTGTGCTGATTGGTCAGTCTCCTGTAACATACTATAATGTTAATGTGAAACTGCTGCATGAGTCTTTCAGTCAAGGAAACAAATCAGTCAAAAGAAAAGCACAAGAAGAACTGAACTATTTAGCCAAACACAGGAGCTTTTCAGTTTTAAAGTAATTTATAAAACCTGAAGTAGCTCAAAGTGTCCATCCTGACATATGCCTATATAGATCATATCTAAAGAAATCAGGCCCCACTTCAGGTCTGAGCCAAAAAAATAAATAAACCAAAGTCCCTTAATTGTGTGAATTGCTCACAATTATCACAGAAAGGTCAACTTTCTGAGCAAAGGGAGCACGAGGTCCCAAAACAGCCATTCAGCGAGAGCTTCCACAAGCCGGTGAGTAACTCTGACGTAGACATGAACAACAGAGTCAGGCCTACTGAAGCACATCAATCACTGTTATCAGCCAATGGAAATGCAGGTGCTTTTCAATACGTACACAACTGTATTATCACAAAGTGGTACTGGTAAGGTGACAGATGCTGTATCTTTGCCATTTTCTAAAGTGCTAGATTGAAGTAATGGACCTATGCAAAATGGTGAAATGCAACAAAAAAAAAATCATTATTTATAAATGCAACTATAATACACTTTACAGAATCATCTTGAAAGATAAAAGGGTTCACAATGTCAACTAGCCCGATCAAAAACTAGCTCCACACTTCTATAATCCTTCCTCCCACCCAATTGTCTTCTTCCAGCTAAAAACTGCAAGTGACTGTGTGTTTATGGACAGATGGGGTCATACCAAAACTGACAATATAGGGGTCATGATTTAGATGTTGTTGCTAACAGAAACAGGTATTACTATAACTTAAATGAAATATTCAATAATAAGTACACAGAAATAAGACAAATATGAAACTCTTGAATAAGGAATAACATATGAAAAGAAATGATTATCTATGGCTCTGACAGGCAGCTAGTGCATTGCCTTTGAATGCACAGCTCACAGATTACATGAGCAAATTTTCAATTAAAATCCGTTGATAGCAGTTGTCTGGGGTGATCTGGGGGCTGGATGGGGCCCCGTGCTGGCAAGCCGGACATCAGGATAGTTAGGGACTGGATTCTCCATTGAGAGACGGGAGACACGTAGAGGGAGAAAATCATGAGCAGACGGTATGTTACATTCTGTACGATTATGAGCCTATTCATCTACGTACATGAATAATATCGATTCCTCAGACCTCTACAGCAACATTTTCCTCCTCTGTATTACACGTAAAAGTGAACAT